GATGAAATATGAGTAATTATGCCATGTAGGCTCTTTTGCCAAGAGTATAATTGTTTACCTAAGCTTTTTTCTTATAGATTAGAATCTTGTGTTGCAGTCTAGTAGATTGATTTAACGGCCGGCCTCTGTGACTTCCTTTTTTTTTTTTTTTTAAGATTAGGCAGTCCATGACAAAGAGGTTAATTGCATCCCAATAGAGCTAAACTAATGTTTTATTAAGAAGGAGTTGGCATCCTGAGCTTTTAGGAGAACAAATGTCCTCATAATGCCATGAACAACTCATAGAGCAAGTATTGGGCTCTTCATATTCAGTAGTCTGTTGATATTTCCCTGCATCGACCACATCTAAGTAACAGCACTGTGCTGAATAATCGAGTCATGCCAGCTAGGCCTCTGTAAAGGTGAGATCAGTAAATGTATCGCTGGGGAAAGTTAGAACTGCTGATGTGTCTTTTTTCTCTGATCTAGACACTGTGGCTACTCAACTTTTGCAAAGTTTTGTGACAATTCAAATAAACTAATTTGGCTAAAAGTGTAGTCATTTCCAAGAACACAAAGGGATAGACATAAGCAAATTCACTGTGGCATTGTTAGTGACAGTGAAAATACAGAAGCTGCTTACATGTTCATGAATAGAACACATACATGATGAGAAAAGAGCAATATCTAATTCTCTGAGATGATAAATGGACAAGCAAGAATCAGGTGCCATTGTGCGTTAGTCTAGAGGTGGAGGGGAGAGTAAGGAAATTGAAACAATTGAGTTTCTGATGGCTTCTGTTTTTTCAACAAGATAATTGGCAAGATAATCTGCTGAGAGTTGAGGAGAGAAGGATGTTTAGAGGGGTCTTCAGAATAATGCTGTTTGGAACTGATGATTCCAAGAAAGTCCTAACCAGAGCTAAAAAGTTTACTGATCAGCTCAGGGAGCTCATCTTTTAGTATTTCCATTCATTTAAATGTAAAACAAACATTCCTTGACTTTGCATTTGTTCTTCAGCTCTCAGGGTATTTTGGTATCAAAACTCATAAATGGTAATTCAGTTTGATAACTACATTTGATTTTGATTTCTCTAGGAAGAAGAGATCTTTTCCAAGACTTCCTCATAATTTTTTCTCTTCCAATATATCTGAGTCTGCTTAACATTTGTCACTACCTTTCTTTCCCGTGCTAGCAGCTACCCAATTCTCTTTGTGAGGGCAGATTTATCGTCTTCAGCACTTCCAATTTTCCCTCCCCAACCTCAACTACCACATCTTTCCCACCTTTTCTAACCCAAAGCCCTTTCTTCATGGCACTTTGTTATTCTACCTAATTTTACCTGTTAAGAGCAGATAAAGTTAAAATTAGATTTTCATTTAAGTAAATGTACTCTGGATGCTGTGTTAATTCCTATTTATCCTTTTTTTTTTACTAATTTTATCATTCAGTTATTCAACAGAGTATGTTTAGTGTCCGCTATGTGCCAACTATGGTACTAGATAATCAGGGAGAGAAAAAATAAGATCTGGCACTGAAATGTCATAGCGTTAGTAGCCTTTCTTTTCATTTGTGCTTTAGGGTGATCTCACTCCGAATACACTGTGTGAAAAGACTTTTAGAATAAAGAATTGATGTCCAGAAAAAACCTAATATGTTTATTACCAATATAGTTACTGTCATTGGAAGGTACCTGCACCACTTTTACCCATATAAAGCAAAACCAAACCAAAATCAAATGATAGTAAAATAAATTGGACTTATTTTAAATCTGATTATTAGTTATTAATAAATTTGGACTAACTAATTAATGATCTGTTTTGTGCCAGCCGCTGTACCAAGTGCTAAGTACAGAGGGATGAACAGTAATAAGAATGCCTGACATGTTAACCGACAACTTTATTAGTGTTATTAGTGCCATGTGAGGTATGCATCTTATGGTGTGAATGCACAGAGAAAGGAGCATCCCTTTTATGGGTAGGTTAGTTAAAGAAGTTTCACGAAGCTGAGCTAATGCTGAGCCAATGAGTCTGAAGGTGTCAGAAATATGGACATACTGTTGGGGAGGGAAAAAGCATTGTAGGCTTTTTAGTTTAATTAAATTTAAATTTCAATAATGTAAATTTGAAGTCCCAGAAGAAATTCCTTTTTCAGTAAGTTCATATCTCTTCCTCCCAGAAGTTATCATGTGTGAAAGCCTGAAAACACTGAATATCATAGGGCATACAGAGAATTTCTAGTAAATTTAATTTTAACTTTGAATTTAATTATTCTTCTAATTTGTTATTGATTTTTAGTAAGGCTGGGTATAGAATATATAAAAATTGTAAGGCGATTGGGGCAGAAAAAATTTGGGGGTCAGAAATAAATGACCAAGGATGTACAGTATTAGTATTATTCTGGAGACCTCTAGAAACTGCTAGAAGAGTTTAATATATAGGGGATGGGCATGGTTAGGTTTATGCTTTAGGAAGAACTTTGGCAGCAATGTAGAGAGTTACTTGTGAGTATATGGCTAGGGAGAAAGTAAAGAGTATGGCCTTAGGATGCTGCCACCTAAGTCAAGGTGGAAGATGATACAATTTGACATAATAGGGATGGAGGAGATTCAACTTGAGGATATTTCCTGATAGATTATAATCTCTAAAACTTGGGGGTGTGTGTGTGTGTGTGTGTGTGTGTGTGTGTGTGCACGTGCACATGAGTGACTGCATAGCATTGTATTAGTGAAGAAGGTTGGTAAAGTTCACAGTTTTGATTAGGCAACTGGAATATCATGAGACATTCACCAAGATCACGAATGCATGAAAGGTGCAGAGTTGGAGATGGAACACTAGATATTTAGGTCTAGCACTTAGAAAAAAGTCGAGGTTGCCTATATAGATTGCCTTGCATTCTTATAGAACTGGTGGCATATTTGGTGCTTCTTTGTTTCCCCAGCACATTGCTCAGGGTAAACCTTAGGGTTTCATACAATTCCCAAAGTTTAGCATTCTTTGATTCACTAGAATGAAATCCATCGATGAAGAAGAACTAAGGATCTTCTAGTAAGGATACTAACTTACCTTTTTTTAATAAAGATTTATTTACTTATGCATACAAGAGCTGGGGTACAGGCCAGAGATGTTGGGGGTGGATGTTTGTGAGTGGACACATCAGAGAGAGAGTGGGGAACAGAACAGGTGGATCTACTGAAATACACTGCTGCGGGGAGCAGCTGGGAGACAGGAGAGGTCTGCCACTCCATGTGGGTTTTCCCTGGCCGGCCAGGGATTGAACTAACTGAACTCGTGCTGAGAGGCTGTGTATTGCTTCATAGTGCCGTGCTTGATCCCTTATGCCCCCAGGGAGGCCCTCGGTTACCATTTTTTAATCCAAATGTTGGATACCATAATGGGGTATGAACTGGTGGGCAATATAAGCTTAAATGAAGTCAGAGTTTGCCTGATCAATAGCAGTAAAGTAGCTCACTTATCTGGTGTGTTTTGAAAGACATTTGACACTACACAGGATTTCTTTCTTGATCTTGTGTCACATTGTCTGAAGTTTCATCATTGCCAAGTAGTTATTTCTTTGGATTATAAGGAGTTTCCACCTTCAAGAAATTGTTTGCTAAAGACTCCATTAAATTTATATATAGAACTTATGGAGTCTTTAACAGATTAGAACTTTCTGAGATACCTAGAGAAAGGATCATTGAGTTAGGAGCAGACTGACTGGTAGAGATTTGCTTGTTCACCTCTCATTGACATCCCTTGAAATTTATTTATTTTTAAATATTGCATTTTTTTTAAAGATTTATTTATTTATACAAGAACCAGGTACAGGCCAGATGCGCGGTAGGGTGAGAGGATTCACCGGAGACAGAGTGGGGAACAGAACAGGCAGGCTGACGAAATACACTGCTGAGGGGAGCAGCGGTCGTGACTGAGAGGTCTGCTTCACCATGTGGGACTCACCGGCCAGCCGGGATCGAACCAGCGCTGTAGAGGCTTCAGACAGCTTCACAGCGCAGCTCTCAACCGTCTGTGCCACCAGGGGAGGCCCTGAAATTTATGATTTTAATAATGGAAATTTGAAGTCCCAGAAGAAATTTTTCTCAGTATGTTCATATCTCTTCCTCTCAGAAGTTAAACTTACTGCTATTTCAGAAAACACTATTAAGGATTATAGGTATTTTAAAATAATCTTTAGATAATCACTGTAGTTGCTACTAAGGGACAAGTAACATTTTTCTATATTACAAAGAAGATGGAGGTGTATGAAATGAGCCGTGCGAAGTTTGTTGAAATTTGACTTCATTTTCTTATGTGTGTATATTACACACAAATATACAGTAGGGGTTTTTATTAGGGTGGTACTACTTGTTATAATAAATAAACCACCAACTTTCAGTGAATTAACATAATAGAAGCATATTTCTTACTCACATAATAATAAACCCTAGGCAGGTGATCTGGGCATACGATCATTCTGCTATGTGCTGATTGAGAGGCCTTCCCATTCCCTGCAGCCTTACCATATTTTCACTGAGCTGGTAGAAGGAGGGAGAAAGTGTGGCCACCTCTCACTTGGCTTTTAAGCTGTGGCACGCATGGCAGTGACACACATTACGTTGGCTTTTATTCTATTGGTGAGACCAAGAAACAGAGCCACACCTAGATGCAAGAAATACTGGGAAAAGTATTCCTGGCTGTGCAGCTGTTTCCCAGTAACAAACCTAAAACCTGTACAAGGTGTGGGGAGCACAGATTTTTGTGGGCAGCAAGATGTCTTGGCTGTTGGGGTTAAGTAATAAATATAAACAAAACAAAAGGTCACATGTAAAATTTACTCTTTCGTTTATTTCACACTTGAAGTATATGATGATGTCTATGTAGAAATCAAATACTTCACATTGATACTTTTCATTAGTTCTGGATGTTATGCTATATCTGAGATCCTTTGAATAGCATTAAGAATGCTTTAGCCTATATTCATAATGTGTGAAAAACTGAGATTTCCTTTCCTTATTTTTCAGGTTGGACAAAATTTGCCCGATTGACTCGGGCTTTGACAAATAGCCGAAGTGTTTTGCAGCAGCTTACACCAATGAATAAAACAGAGGTGGTCCACAAACATTCAAGGTTAGCTGAAGTAAGTATGTGACTAACTTTGCTTCTCAAAATGGTAGTGGTAGTACATTCTCCTCTCCCATCCATCTACAAATGTTTAGATATTTTGATTATTATTTTATAAATACTTCCCTGATAATTTATTTTTCCCTTGTAGAATAATAGAAATTTCAAATTTGTCCTTTTATTTCTTCCTATTTTGAAATGGTAAAGTAGGTCCTCCTATCTCTGATGGTATCTGCACTGTGAGGTTTCCTTTGAGCAAAAGAGATCAGGAGTTTACTTCTTTATTCATTTCTGCATGCAGCACATAGTTATCAAGGGCTAGCTCTATGCGCAGAGGATGTCAGATGAGTAAGCCTTGGGTCCAGTCATCAAGGAGCAAAAGATCCAGCAGAGGTGATCAACAGTAGAATGTGATTATAATAGTGGGAGTCTGTGTACTCAGAGGAATATCTACTCAAACTTGGAACTCTAGGAAGGGCTACCTGAATGAGGCAATACCTGGGCTCAGCAGTGAATCATGACTGGAAGGTTAAAAGGGGGTGACAGTCATTCCTATGAGGGAGGCCAGCAGATGCAAAAACTCAGGGATGAGAAAGAATTGTGACTTTTCAGTATGGATGGGAAAGATGAAAACTAAATGTATATGTTCATCAGTTTTCTCTGCTAAAGGGAGTTGACACATTCCATAGTACCTTTAAAAAATTGAGGAAGTAACATTGGTTGATAATATTATGTAGGTTTCAGGTTTATATCATTATAAATAAAGATCTGTATATGATACATGAAGTTTACCATTAATGGTCGAATTAGATTCTTCAAGAGTAACCTTCTGAACTAGTTGAGGATTTAAAATTTGGTTTGGAGAGGGTTAGGAAGTGAATTTAGAGGGCTCTAGTTAACAGAGAGATTGGTGTGATTTTCTCCTCCAAATAGTCCTGTTAGCTTGGGAAGAGACTAATGCTTTGATGTGCAGACATGTTTTTAAAAGCCCAAATAGGACATTATCATAATTAAATATCCACTAACAATAATAATTATGTTAACTTGAGTAAAAGTCTCAGTGATAGTTTTTTTTAAAGATTTATTTTTATTTATGCATATAAGAACTGGGGTATAGGCCAGAGGTGCAGGGGTGAGAGGATTCACCAGACAGAGTGGAACAAGCAGATCTATGGAAATACACTGCTGAGGGGACAGGCAGGCGAAACAGAAGTCTACTGTGACATGTGTGTCAGCCCCCAGGTTGGGGATTGAACTCATGCTGCAGTGGCCGTGAATAGCTTCATAGGTTGTGTCTTAACCATTTGCACCACCAGAGAGGCCCTGGAAATGCCCCTTTGTATATAAGTAACATCTCTGTGTCGTGGAGAAACTCGCTTGGGAAACTCGCTGCATGCCACTAAAGGGGAGCTCTGGTGACTGAACCCAAGGACCCTGCTCTCCAAACCCAGCAACTCCAAAAACCAACACCAACACCATGAGCCTCTAAATGTAGAATCAATATTCCAGGTCCACCTCTTGTTTCCTTAGAATTTAGATCATATAAATTCTCTATATTTTATGTTAGTAAATTTTAACTTTCTCTTCTACTAACTTGCCTGATGTTAATTTGCTCACCTATCCAGCTTCAGAGGAACCCAGATTTGGTTGGAGAGGGGGATGAATTTTCTTCTCTGCCCCAACATTATTTTATCTGAACATATTATAAAATTTTTGCCCCCACCTCCCCACCCCCAAGGTCTGTCAAACTAGAGAGCAAAGCTATTGGCTCTCACTAGATTTGCCATCTGAAACAGCTATTCAAAATCTGATGCCTGCAGGTAAAACCAGCCTCTCTGGTGACCAGATAAAGAAAATTTAACTATGAGTAACCAGCCTTTGCATTTCTGTGGCACATTCTGTAGAAAGGAAGAAATTAATCCTGCTTTGCCTTCTGCTAATACCAGCTTGTCTTTAGGTTGGGACAGTTTAGAACTAGAAACCCCTCTTATCAAGAATAATTACATTCTAAATGTCAATGACTCACTGCTCCTACCTATATAAACTCAATTAAAACTTGTATGTATTGGAACAAATAGCTCTCACAGAATAAAATCTGACTATTTCTCAGTCTGAATTTTGACTTTGATTCTCTAAACACTTAGTGGAAGTCATTGAAACTTTATTTCCAGTTAATAGTCATCCCTAATTAAAAAACATGATTCAGGTACAAAATTGCTTTCTGTCATATTTTAGGTTTCAGGGAACATGCAGAAATTACAATGTTTTCAACAGAGAGTCTGTGTGTATGCTTAGATCTCCAAAGACTGACCCAGAAGGAGCAGCAAATTATCATTTTTTCCAGTTGTACATAGGGTCATATAATTTGCTCAATATGGATATTTCGGTGAACACCTGGAGTATGTACGCGTGGGCATGCCTCAGTGTGCACACCTGCGCTTGGAGGCTGAGGATACAAGGGTGGCATCACTCAGGTCACTCAGACAAGGAAGCGGCTGGCTGCGGAATGGCTGTGAGAGGAAGAACCCAGAGAGAAAGAGTAAAGTTACCCCTGGGCCTGAGAGGCTTCCAGCCTCCTGCCTCCATGCCCCTCCCCACCTCTACCACCCTGCATTGTGGGGCTTGCCCCACAATAATTGGTGTAGAAAGATCATTAAAGCCTGGAAAAGCCACTGAGGGCTCCAGGACTCTCCTTTATTCATCTCCAATGGCCTATACCACTTTTAGAGTCTCCTCGTTGGTTGAATTTTATTAACCAAAAAAAAAAAAAGAAATTTAGGTAAAGCACTTGAGTCTATAATATTAATTTATGCTGTTGCAGAAATAAATTCTAGACTTTTACCCAGGCAGGGGAAGAACAAGCGGTACTTCAGGAATGGTGAGGTCAGGAAAGCTTTATTACTCATGCATGAGGTCCCAGACCTGGGTAATCCCACAAGGTCTGAGCACTGGTCTTAGAGACAGAGTTTCTTTTATATACAACCACTTTACATTGATAAAGTTGGTTAGTTAGCATACAAATTCTTGACACAGGAAAAGGGGAAGGGTACTGATCTTCAAGGATGGCCTGGGAGATCAATCAGCCTAACAGGCTGCCAGACCCTGTTTAGATATGCTTTTAAGGAAGCAAACTTGTTATTTACTTTACATTTCCAGGTCTATGACTCTTTAACAGGGAAAGATTTCCTTTTCTTAGCAGTTCCCTTTCAATGCTTGTTTTAAAACAATGCACTTGTAAAATAGGTTATTTATTTTTATGTAGGAAGGGGTCCAGGAAGGCAAAATAGCCTCCGGACCTTGAAGGTCTTAATGAGCAACCCCGGAACTAAGTTTATTTTCTAACTCTGCTTTCTTTGTGCTTAAATTACAGACTGTGCAAATATAGATGGTAAAGTATTAACATTGAACATAAGGAAATTTTCATATTTAATATGGTGAAATTGGAATGGATAGAGCAGTGGTTGAAAGGTGAAAGATAATCTATGATTGTGTATGGTTCTGTATATATAATGCTCTGTCCTGACATGTAGCTTATATTCCTGGCAGAATAATTTGGTGCTAATTTAAGACCTTATGGGAAAAACCTGTCTGAGGCCCTGATAATGAAGGTAAACACATAAAAGTCTTTATGAATAGTTCTTATAGCCCCCAAACTAAAAACAGTAGTTGTAAGGCACAACTAAAGAGAATACCAGTGATGATTTTTACATTTCAATATAGTAATAATGGTTTTCAACTATGCAAATTCTGTGTTTGAGAGAAACTGTTTGGGATAACTCTCTCCCAAGTTTCGAAAAGTGCTGGGACATTTGTATTGCCTTGTGGCATATGAGTAACTTACTACCAGGTATTTCATTTATAGCTATTCTTGCATTCAAATGTTTAATGCATTCATGACTTTGATTTGAATTTTTTGACTCTTACCTCTTGGGTCCCTGAATATTTGGATGCAAAGATGGGCAAAACTGCTGAAACATTATTTACAGCTCTACCTAACTCCTTAGCACATAGGGTTTTTTTTTAAGATTTTTTTTTTATTTATGCATATAAGAGCAGGGGTGTAGGCAGTGAGAGGATTCACCAGAGACAGAGTGGGGAGCAGAACAGCAGATTTGTTAGGGGACCTAGTGCGCTTTATGGTGACCAACACAAGAAAAATTACTTTGGGCTGGTGAACCACAGGTGAAGCTTGGAAACCACGTTGGGCACCAGCTGTTATAGAGCAGCCCCAATATTGAACGGGTTGCCTGGCTGTGGGTCATCACCCGCGCGCTTAAAAGGGACTTATTAATACTCCACTATAGGCATATACAAAAGGTTAATAAAAGGTTTATTTACAAGGGAAAAGGAAATAAGGAAAATGTACAACTCAGGGAGAAAATAGGGAAATAAAGTCTTTTATTTTTTTAAGTTTTTTTTTTTTTTTTTTTTTATAGAGGCATGTTTTTCTTTGTTTTGTTTTGTTTGTGTTTTTTGTTTATACATGCACTGGGTACAGTCAGAAGCACGGGAGGGTGAGAGAATTCACCAGAGCCAGAGCGGGGAGCAGAGCAGGCAGAAGGACCGAAGCGCACTGCTGAGGGGAGCAGCGGGCGGCAGGAGAGGTCTGCGCGCCAGGGAAATAAAGTCTTTAACGTGTCCTACCCGATCCGCCGACCTGGAAACCCAAAGGCACCCTCAGCGCTGGCCGGACTCTGCGAGATGGCAGAGAGCCAAAATGGGGGACCCCTCCAAAGCTTTATACCAACCTGGCTGCTTAGCCCCACCCTCAGGTCCCAGCCACCTTCCCTTTGGTGGTGATGGGATTTGGAGTTCCCAGTGTCTTTGGCTTTGGCCTGGGGTGGGGGTGGAGTCCACAAAGCCTGTATGGAATTAGCTTTAGGACATCCTTTTCCCCCTAATAATTCCCCCCTTTCACTTTTTGCCACCATTTCCATGGTGATGAAGATCGAATGGCTGCCCTATAACAGATTGACTGAAATACACTGCTAAGGGGAGCAGTGGGTGAGAGAGGAGAGGTCTGCTGTGCCATGTGGGTTAGCTCCCGCCAGGGATTGAACTCAAACTAGTGATACTGTAACAGGGTGGTCCCCAGGAAAGGGGGAGGTTCCAGGTTCCCTGCCCCACCCAAAAGGAGGGTGGAGCTGAGCAGAGAGAAGAAGCTGCAGAGGAGACTGAGGAAGGAAGGAAGCAGGATGGAGCCAAAGGAGACCTGGAGGAGGCACATGGAGCCTAGAGACACATGAAGAAACTGCGCTTGCCTTTTGGTCGTGGACTGGGTGACACAGATGTGGGTGAGACCCATGGGGAGGTGACAATGGCAGCTTTTATCTTGATTTTGATTTTGCTCTTTTCCTTCTGGGTTTGTCTAGTTGTTTCTGACCCTTTTCTGTGGGTCCCCACTGGAAGATGCTTTGGACTTGTGGCAGGCTTTGGGGCCTTGCTCTGGGCCAATCCCATTTGGATGGAGTTTTACCCACGAGGGGACGGGTAACTTTGGGTGCTTGATTTAGAAACTAGATTCTTTGCCTTTCCTGTATTGTTTCCTAATTGTATTAAAGTTCCTTCCCATTAAAGTCTCATATGTTTTGTGTTGATGCGGTGGATGGCAGAACCCATTTAGAGCAGGCAGGTTTTGGGGGGATCTGGGGTGCACCTCTCCCTGCCCTGTAACAATACTGGAACTCCTGAGTGCTGCAGTAGCTGCTGATATCTTGATAGTGCTGAGACTTAACCCCTTTGCCACCAGGGAAGCCCTTTTAGCATGTAGGTTTATTCAGTCTTGAGTTCATTGTTTGCGTGGATCAGAATCCCTGACCTACTCCTTCAACTCCTTTTCACAGTTTTCAGGTTTCAGAAGGCAGTGCTTGCTGTCTTATATTTGTTACCTTTACCTGGGGTTGTCCAGACCTCTAATCTTGCTCTGCCATCTGTTTTTTCCTCATTGTTTCTTTAATTAGACATAATCTGAGGAAGTTAAGGTTCATATAATCTTGCATTGACATGTTTGCATTTGTTTAGAAGATATGGAGAAGCAAAACTAAGTATTAAGCACATTTTTTTCCCCTAAAGGGATTTATATCTGGTCATGAAAGTCAATATTCTTTAAGTCATGATTTGAAGGAAAAAAGAAACCAGGATATCATATTTTATAATCCTTAAATGGTTGTGCCAGTCTTTAGGGCACTTGCTGAGTCCTACTCAAAGAAGAGATCACCAGCAGTGGGGTTGTAGGGATTGGCAAAGCCATCAGGATTAAACTTCTCCCTAAGTTACTGAAAGTGTGAAGAGTGGATAATGATGTGTCACCTACAGGTTTTTCTTTGATCTAAATGTAATGCTTTTCTATGCAAAATAGCACAAATTGACAAAGCCATTGCTAGTCATTTATATATGGAAACATTTTTGAGCATTCCCAAGTCTCCCCAAAATAAACTACTGAAGCATACCAAATAATACATAAAACCTAAAACCGTACTAATGTATAGTAAAAGCAGGAATAACTTCATAAATACGCAGTCTGTATAAGGTAAATTCCAGGGAAGGAACTGGATGGTGCTGGCCTCACTGCTTGTGGTGCAAGTGGCCTCGGGAAGGGTTGTCAAACCAATGCTAAACCATTTTCACTTTTTTTTCTTTGTTGTACAAGTGGAGAGCCTGTTAGGATTTCTTTCAGTTAGTGTAAAAAGGTACTAATGTGGGTGAAAGTGGAGTAGTGTTACACACACTTTTAAAAAGGGGTGCCTGTAACTGCAGGACAATGAGTGAGGGATGTGATTCCTGAAGTTTCTGTAAAGTAAATGTGCAGAAGGCACGGCAGAGGTGGACCTGGGGGCAGTGTTGGTATAAGGGGCAGGAGGCGCAGGGCAGGTTTTCTATGACCCAAGCAGACGGGGTAAAGGAGGAGTCCTGGAGCCCTCAGTGGCTTTTCAGGCCTTTATTGGGATTACCAGGTACACGGCAGGCAGGGAGGCTGGCAGGCCTCCTCCAGCCCCGAGCAAGTCTTCACTCTATCTGGGCTCTCCGGCCTTCCCTCGCATTCCCTCTGCTTCTCTGCTCTTCTTGTGGTTCTTCTCTCTTGGCATCCCCGTGACGCCGCCTTATAAGCCCAGTCTCTCAGCCCAGGCGAATTCTGTCTACGCATGCCCACACCCTACTCCAGATGCCCGCCATCAGGCATGCATTCAGGATCACAAGGATCCATCATCGATCCTAATGGTGGGGGGGCAGAAAAGCCTGATACTTTACTTACCCTACAGTTGGGCTCTGGGGAGAGAGCCAGAAGGAGCAGCAGCCAGCTCAGCTGTGGTAGAGGGGTTATACTTGGCGTGATCTCCTTCCTTTGAACAAACCTTGGCACAACTTAGGAGAAGAGGGAGGGTGAGTGGCTTTGAAACCAGGAGTCATGATAAATCAGCTGTGGTTTGACTGCCAGGTAAGTTTGAATTCATCTTTGCGGAGATGTCCAAGTCATTTAGGTATGCACTTATGCCATTTATGTATACATTTTCTCTCTTCTAGGTTCTTCAGCTGGGATCAGATATCCTTCCTCAGTATAAACAAGAAGCGCCAAAGACGCCACCACACATTATTTTACACTATTGTGCTTTTAAAACTACTTGGGATTGGGTGATTTTAATTCTTACCTTCTACACCGCCATTATGGTTCCTTACAACGTTTCCTTCAAAACGAAGCAGAACAACATAGCCTGGCTGGTGCTGGACAGTGTGGTAGATGTCATTTTCCTGGTGGACATTGTTTTAAATTTTCATACAACCTTTGTGGGACCTGGTGGAGAGGTTATTTCTGACCCCAAGTTGATAAGGATGAACTATTTGAAAACTTGGTTTGTGATCGATCTGTTGTCTTGTTTACCTTATGACATCATCAATGCCTTTGAAAATGTGGATGAGGTAAGTGGTGTCTTTTTTTTTTTTTTTTGCCTGTTGCGGATTATTGTTTTCAGAATATTAGACTAAAAGGAGTTTATAGGTTATCCAAACATCTTTTAACCTTCCCCCTACTAGACACTTGTTATAGTTGGTTATATTACATTAATTTTCATCTGCTTATTTTTCTTGATTTCTGGTGGAAAATATTAATTGCTAGCAAAATGACTGTGGATAGAAGTTGTGGTTGGAGGGGATAGAACATAAGAAAACAGTATTTGGAGTAAAATACATGAACTAGATAATTGAATGATAATGGAAAAAGATATATTATGGATATGGAAAACTGCAGCATTTTAAAGCTATGCACCCATACATATTTTAACTCGTTCCCTCCAGATATTTTTTTTTTTTAAGATTTATTTTTATTTTTGTACAAGAGCTGGGGGTACAGGCAAGAGGCACGGAGGGTGAGAAGATTCACCAGAGACAGAGTGGGGAACAGAACAGCAAACTGACTGAAATACACTGCTGAAGGGAGCAGCGGGCGAGACAAGAGAGGTCTGCCTAGACCATGTGGGACCCTCGCCTGCTGGCTGGGATCTAATCAGCACTGCAGAGGCTGCGGACAGCTTCATAGCGGGGCACTAAACCCTCTGAGCCACCAGGGAGGCCCTCCCTCCAGATATTTATGTTATGCTACTTGAGTTAACATGAAGGTGAAAATCTTTTATGGACGAGCAGTCTGAATTTTTTGCCTTTTCGTTTTCTTCTTTATTCCTTTTGCTTTGAATTTTGTCTGAGTACATTTGTGGTTAGAGCCTGGTTTGGATGACTTCTGACATATGGTTTAATTCAAGGTTTTGTGCAGTATTATCTGGGCTAGAAATACTGAAAACATATGTAATATCTTAAAAGACCACTTCATCCAGGGCCTCTTAGCCTCTGACTTAACAGTGAATGTTTTTCAACATGTTATACCAAGCTAATAGGATGCAACCAATAATCTCAACAGTAATATATAAATGAGCCAATGTAGAATGTATCTATTATTAAAATGTGCTTATAATGATAATGTTACAAACTTAATTTCCCTAAAGATTCTGCTTTGTTCTTGTAGACTGCTCACTTGGGAAATTCTCCACTACTGTTGTCATTGCTGTTATTCAATGTGTGTTGGGAGGTAGACTGAAACTTTTTTCAGTGACTTTTTTCCCATAAAATTTCTACTTTAAATCAATTTCAATGATCTTTAAAAGAAATAATTTCCCTGAAAGGTGAGGGTAAACACTGCACATTTTGAACAGATAGTACAGATAGTTGAACAATTGTACAGATAGTTGTAACTTCATAAATTATGGGAAAAAAGGAATTAAAGTAAATTCGATTTTTAATTTACTTTTAAATTGATTTTTTAAAAACAAGTATTTATTTTTGTATAGAAGAACTAGGGTATGGACCAGAGGTGCAGGGATTGAGAAGATTCACCAGAGACAGTGAGGAGCAGAACAGGCAGATCTACTGAAATACACTGTTAAGGAGAGTGGAGGGACAGGCACAGAGGTCTGCTGTGCTTTGTGGGTCGGCTCCTTGGCTAGATATGGAACTCAGATCATAACTGTGATACTGCTGAGGCTTAACCCCTACAGCCACGAGGGAGGCCCCCTTTTTAATTTTAGATTCTACATACATAAAATTTTTAAGGTACATTTATTTCTTTCCTATTAGGCCTATGGTAAGGGTTGAGAGAAGTTAATTTTGAAAATGGTAATCCTAAAAGGAGATAATAAGCAGTATTTTTTATTTCACTCGCTAAGTAGACTAATATATTAAGATCATACATTAAGATTTTGTTAATTTAGGGCATAGGCATAAAGATTTTAATAAAATTAAGCAAAAGAATGACTATTTCATCAAAAAGAAAAATACATCAAGTGTATTGAAATAATAATGTATTTAAAATAATATATTGTTATATTAAAGGAATCTCAACCTCATTCATCATTAAGGAAAATTCAAAATAAAACTTGATTATTCTGACATATACTTATCAGGCTTCCAAGACCCAGACTTGGTTAATGCACTGGAATGATGACTGGTGGCTGAGGAAGTGTCCTCCTAGGGTCCCCCTTCAAACAAACTGCCCTGTGCAGCATAGTCAGTGGCTTGCTGGAGGAAAGCCTGTTGTCAGACTTTCTTTCAAACTCGGCATTCAGTGATATCACACTGGTACCTTGAAACTGGCCATAGTGGAAGTTCTTTTCCTAGAAACCTGAGAATGCTACCAATGAAGACTTCTTACAACTTCCTTAGTATCATTTGTTGAATCACTTACCAAGTCACCACTGGACACAGTCAAAGAATGCTGCTGTTGAGATACAGGCACTTTCACGTTATGTAGAGAATTCTTGTTTTATTTACTTGTCACCAAACAGCAGGTTTATATACCTGTCTCTTAGTTTATTAGTTTTAGGCTTTATCTTTGAGTTTCACTATGGAAGTTGAGGTTTTATCCCTTCTAGTCCCTGTCCTCACACTATGTGTGCATTATTTCTGTCATTTCATTCTCCCAATACAGATTATCCTTTTGTGTGTGTTTTTTTTTTTTAAAGATTTTTACTTATGCATACAAGAACTAGGGTGTAGACAGGTGGTACAGGGGGTGAGAGGATTCATCAGAGACAATGGGGAACACAACAGGCAGATTGACTGAAATACACAGCTGAGGGGAGTAGTGGGTGAGACAGGAGAGGTCTGCTGCACCATGTGGGTCACCTCCCTGGCTGGGGATCGAACTCATGCTCAGTGGCTGGCCATAGCCTGACAGGGCTGTGTCCTTAACCCCTGTGCCACCAGGGAGGCTCCAGATTTTCCAATAATATTAGGTGTTTATATCATCATGAATACAAATGTGCTGTGCATAGGGGGGCCTTGCAGCGCTAACTTTTCCTTTTCTGCACTTTCCCTGAGAGTTGGTAATTGGCCTTTTCATTTGCTTTGTTTTCTATGTACTTATTACTAACTCATCTATTAAGCTCTCTGCCAATTGGTTAAATTTCTCCTCACTTTGATTCAAGCAATAAATAGTCTGTCAACATCATTTTAATAAATCTCTCTTGACACTGCTCTCCCATATGATTGAGAGGGGGCTACCTATAATATTCTAGGCTAGAGATAACTTCTCAGAATTCTGAGTGATAAAGTGCCTTTGCTCTCCATCTTCTAATAATTCTGTTAAACAAGGTCATTGTGATTTCTGATCCTTTACATGTGACCTATTTTCTCTTACTGGAAGTTGGATGTATCTTCTGTCCCAGGGTTCTGAGACTTTCCTATGATGTGGCTTAGTGTGGGTCCATTTTCATCATTTCTGCTGACTATGTGGCTGTTTTCATTCTAGAAGAGCATGTTTTCTGGTCTTGAATTTTTTCCTAAGGTGATTATCTTTGTCCCTCTACCTGTTTTTCTCTGTTCTCTCTCTTAATGGAACCTCTTTTATTCAGATATTATACCTACTAGACCTAGTCTCTGACTACCTTGTTTTTCTCTTTCCTATTTTCCAATCCTTTATCGTAGTGCTGTTCTCTAAGAGATTTCCTCAACATTATTTTCTAACTTTGTTTCTAATATTTTTCTTAAACTAATAGGCCTAAATTAGCTTTTATGTAATATTTGGTGTAGGTATTCTGTCTAGCCCTTACAAATAGTTTATAGGTTCTGAAAGCCTAACTGGCAAGTTTAAACTATGTGGGTTTATTGTGATGAATTACATTTTGATTTATTCACAACATCTTATTTTCCATTTTTAAATGCTTTTTCTTTGCTTTCACCTGCCTTTATTTTATTTTTTTTTCTTTTATCGAATCTTTTATCTAATCTCCTGAATTCCTTCAACTGGTTGGAAGTTTTCCTGTTAAGTGATTACTTAAAATTTTTATCATCAGTCATTGACTTATTAATATTTTTACCTTTCTTCTAAATAATTGAAGGACCTCTGTTCATCATGTCATCTTTCAAATTATTGTTGATTTGTATTTGGGTTGCATATTATTTTTACCTTTCTCTTTTGATTATTTTATTATTGTCCTATCTAACTGTCTACATGTCTTTAGATTTATTTACATGCCTACCAGTCTCTGCTTGCATTATTCTGTGTATTTTTGCTTCCTTTCTGTTTTAGTTCCTGTAGGTTGGCTCTTTTAGGATCTATTACACAACATTCTATTTTCAGGAACATGCTTCTTTCAGGAAGCTTTCCTGAATTATTCTGAAGCAGCTCTAATGAATATCTTTACCACATCTCATCTTCACTTATGTGCATGTCTGCACATTAATATAATTTCAGGATTTTTATTTTGTGACTGTGTGTGTTCATGAGCACTGTACTGTTGTTTTGTGTGGAGTCTTATGACCTCTCTAGGAAACGTCTGTTGTGACCTTTGGGATTGTTATTCTGGTTCTCAGTATCCAAATATGTAAAAACATAAAGGGAATGCTGACTTACATCACAAGTTGGTAATAAGGACTACATGGCAGATGAGATATGAATGAATATGGCTCATAGATTTCTATGTGCTTGGGGGCATATTATTAATTTGTTTGTGTGTGTTTATTTCCTCAGTTTGATTATAAGCCTGTAACAATGGAGAATGTATCCTATCTCCTTGGTAATCCTTCATTGCTCTTAGTGCAGGCTGGTGACTCACTGACCTGAAGCAATGAAATGTTAACAGGATTTTGGTAAATTGCACAATGACATAAAATAAAATAGAACTTAAAAATGAGGAAGTGAGCTAGTGGTAGTTTGGGAATAGGAGAATATGAGTCTGAAAATTACACTTTAACTCGTTAACATGATGTGGGTGCAGAATGAAAGAGGACTTAATGACACTTTTTACTTTCAAGATCATCTCAGTCTATGTATTCTCTGAAGGTAATTTGATTTACTAGAAATTCATGAACTAGATATGTGATTCTGTAAGAGAACTGTGAGAGAGGAAAGATGGAATCCATTAAAGGAAAAC